GAACAGATTTCTGGGAATCGATTCCTTCCTGGTGGGAACAGATTTCCATATGTAAAAATTCTTAGCAGTAGCCAAGTTTTCGTTCCCTGTTTCTGGAAAACACACTTTGACAGCATTTTGCTACACTTTAAACCATGGGGACTCATCCCCAAATTTTCATGGGACCTAATAGACGTTATATTCAATTAATCTAGCATGCATATAACCACATTACGGGTTATTCACATGGTCCATCCATGGATCTCTCTATGAATATACATATGCCTCTCATACTTACATAAAATAAAATTAACATCAAATCTATTACATGTCATATGAATATACATACTTATGTCTCCCAAATGAACTATATATAACATGCATTATCTATCTACCAAAAGATACATCAAAGTATAACCTATACATATGTCTCTACATAAATATATAGGCATAAATATACCCCTACTGATATGTCTCCAACATATATATGAATCTAAGCCAAAAAGAGAAAGAATCTTGATCAATCCTAGATAAAAGGGCTGTAATTACTGTTAATTTAATAAATCTCAATCAGAGATCATGCAACTGATTTCCTTCTGATTTTGTAGGAAAATAGGGCAAAAAGAAGCCTAATTTGAAAGCATAAAACTGAAGTCCCACGCTAATAGCGTGGGTGTGGTGCTGACAGCGCCAGAAGAAATTTTCATCCAGAGAAATTCACGCTGTTAGCGTGGCATTCGCGCTACTAGGCCAGACAATCTTGCCAACCACGCTGACAGCGTGGGAACCACGCTAGTAGCGTGAACTTCCAGTATTGTGAACAAAACTCCCACGCTATCAGCGTGGAAACCACGTTGTAGCGTGAGAGGTACAGGAAAATCAATAAATTATCCCATTTTAAATCAGAGAAGATTGGACTTAAGATACCCGATGCAGATATAATCAAGATTTCTAAGCAAGACACATAGTTTGTAAATAGAGACTCAGAGCCCCAGAGACAATAATAATTGGTTGGAGAGAATAATGAGGATCAGAGAATTGAGAGAATTCTTGGAGACTCGCGCTGGAGATTGGGATTCCATCAGAGTTGAAGACTGAAGACATTGAGCTTCCTTCTTCTTCTTCTTTTCTTTTCTGTTTATGAACAATTTTTATTATTTGAATTTGTTTAAGTCAGACATGAATATGTCTGGCTAATTTCTTTTTGTAGTATGGATCACAGACCCGATGTGAATCCTTTTATATTTTCTATATTGTTTTTATAATTTAATTAGTTAGTTTTTTATTCTGCCTGTGCTAATTTTTCCATATCCTGATTAGAATTGGCCACTCTAATTATAGGGCTTTGAGGGTTAGGACTCACAATAGACATATTGGGGTTTTAGTCTGGACAAGAGTAGAATAACAATTTGTGCATGACCTAGACATAGGCTTACATAGATTGCAGACTTATAATTCATTTGTTTAATGCTTAATTCAAGAGGGATTACTAGGACACTAGGATTCTAATTGGGTTAATGGGTTGAAATCACTAAGACTTTAGGGTTCAACTATTTTATAGGGAAATAATGAATTGTCTGAGCAAACCAATTATTTAATTATAAAATACAATATAGGAATATAAGGGAGTATCGAAGGTGAAGTGCATCCTAGCTACAGTCTTTTTATAATTTTTAATCAATCTCATAATTTCTTGTCATTTTTTATACTCTTGCATATTGTTTTTAAAATTCCAACACTCAATCACTTTCACAAATCAAACAAATTTTCTTTTCCAACTTAAGGGAAATAGTTAAATTAGTACTTGGTGCATTAATCCTCGAGGGAACAATCTTTACTTATCATTTTATTACTTGAAACTAACTGTATACTTGCCGATTTCGCAACAACTATGCTCTCCAAAATGCTTGTATATCATAATGTGAGACATGTAAGCATCCAAAACATAATCTCCCAAGCATACATTATCATGGCAATCTAGTCTGGTCTCGTACCCTGTGATACTCCTGTACCGTCAGTACCTGCACCTGAAATTCCCATAACGTGGGGTGAGATATACATATATATCTCAGTAAACCAAGGGTCCTTGGAGATTCCTTCACCCCAAGTTCACTTCAGCATAAAAGCAATAAATCATATGATGCAACATATACATATCCATGTTATCCAAATAATGCTCATCTAAGACATCCCTCAGGTCAACACACCTTCTCAGGAATGCTCATGTCGCAATAACAATAAATCATTCCAGGCAGAGAACCTACACTCTATGAATTACACAAGGAAACATCCTTGATACATACCAAGCGGAAACACATAGCATATACCCAATGCATCACATTAAATCTATACAATTAGATATACCATATAAACCACTACCCCTTCAGGGCATGGTGGAACAAGCACAGGATAAATTCTAAAGTCTGAAAGCTTACCTGTAGTGGCTTCTTAGTAAACCTTTCTTGTATCAAATCTCCAAATACAAACAACGACAAGCTAGATCCACTTAGAGATTCAAGTGTCCATCTCCATTGCTTGATCCAATGGTTGTTTGCTAAATATTCTAGCACTAAATTCACTCATAGAATTCAATGACAACAACGAATATCAATCACCATTAACCAGTTACTTGCATTGCAAGAAATCACACTTTTCTTATCTGTAATTTTCAAAAAAGAGGGACATTATGCAAATGGTGATTTAACTTCATTTCTACTATTTAGTTTCCTTCGTTAGCATACTTCCCAACATAAACTAAGGCTAATTCATTCTCCAACATCACAAACCTAGCAACATTTATCATAAACAACCTAAATATCACCCATTATGAAAACTTAGAGGAAAATGGATTTTCTTACCTCAAATGGCTTCACAAAGTCCCAAGGAATATTTTCTAAACCTTGAATGAGATCAAACCAATATCCTTTGTTCAAAAATACCTCAAAACCACCACATTCCAAGGATTTTTCTCTCTACACTCACTCTCAACACTTTGTGAATTATAGGTTATGATCTCCTCACAATTCTAAGCAACTTTGGTTTTTTACTTCAAGGAAAATAGATGACTAATAAGGAAGTTGTAATTCAAGCTTCTCTCCTATGGTGTCTGCGGGTCTCACGAAGAAGGAGAAATGTAATGATCTTTGTCTTAAACTTTAGATATTTTAACAAAATATAAAGTTTACATAAGTCAAAGAAACTTTAAGAGTAATCTCAATCATGTCCTTTCATCCATTTAATTCCTCTAACCTGGTTTTAGACTATCACTAAAATTATATCTCGGTGTTTCATTCAATTATTTTTAAGTTCTGGGTAACTTTTGCCTACTAGCAATTATACCCCAAAACTCACACTATTTGCACTTTTTCCAAAAATGCCTTATTTTGGCCTAATTAGATTTTCAACCTAATTATACCATTAATTCCAAGATTAAATCATTAATCATATCATAAATTCATATTACACAGGTTAGGGTTATTATAGATCAGTTATGTATTTGACTCGATTTGAAACTGGTCCTGAACTGGTTCAACCGGTATTAAACCAACGCCGGATTTTAAAAAAAAAATTGATTTTGTGAAATTTTTGACAAAATGCTTGAAAAATACCACTAATGAAATTTGAACCTAAACCATGTAGATTATAACTTATAGCACTTATTACTAATCTAATTCTTCTTTTTTATAAATACTATTAATCTAATTTTAATTATTAGCTAAAATTCTTTTAATTTTATGTTTAATATATTTTATTATATTTTTAATTCAAGCGGTTGAACAAGTGATCCACTGGTTGAACCGGTAAGCCATTGACCAGTTTCAGTTTGATAATACTGAGTTGAAGTATTTACCACCTTTTTTTTCTTCTTACAACATTTTAATCCACTTTTATTACTGTTGGATCAGAATCAAATCAACGGTACAAAATGGCATCAAGTGAGAACTGTTGATTTGATTTTGATTTAACGATAATAAAAATGGTTATAAGAGGTTGTAAGAGAAAAAAAATTGTAAATATATAACCTCCCTCATATTTCTATATTAAATTAAAGTTTGTTTAATGACTTAAATTTTTTCAAAAATAACACATATTATTCTCAATTTGTTTAAAAAAAAAATTAAATTTTTTATGCATACTTCATTCATAACTATAATTTTTTCTTTTAATTTATACTTTTTATATTATACCTAGTTTCAACATAGCTTCACATAATACTTGCGAGTGGTGATTGAAACTAAAAAGCAAATATACAACCAAATAATGGTAGCTCAGTTGACGCAAAAAAATTGAACAGGTGGGGGTGAAAGCATGTGTTGGATTCAAGTGGCGAAGCCGGGGAAAAGACTTAGCCAGTACCAAAAGACCCAACTAATAAAATCCAACTAGTACCAATATTATATTATTTTTAAAAACTTAACCAATATCAAGGCTATACCATAATTTTTAAATAAAATATGTAGCATTTTTTAAATTTAGCTGGTGCTAAGGCATCACCTAGGAACCAAGTGGCTCTTTCACTGTTCGATCTTCTCCAGTATTGTTTTTGAAAGGGGTTTAAAATCTTAATCCCAAAACTCGTGCTGAATTAAAATAGTAGCGAAACGATGAATCAATTGGAATATAAGAAGATGAAGAAGAAGCAAATATACAACAAAAGTACCATCCAGAGCTAGCCTTCATTTCCTATTGTGATAGTTAGCTAGCTATGAGAATAATTAATTAATGTCTCTCCAAATCGTTTTCCCCTTTTATCCAGTTACCCGAACATCAATATAAAACATAGAACATGCAGACATTGCAAATCTTGGTTCACACAGTTAGTGGAATCTTCCGTCTGGGTTTGTTTTTCCATTTTTTTAAGGTGATATATAATATTACTTTAAATTCTCATCGAGATTTGTGGTCTTATTTGGCCTTGCATAGGGCGTATATTCCCTTAACCTAAACTTCTTGTATATATATAAAAAAATGCACACATTTTTTATTTCCCTACCATTGAGATTAAACAAATAAATACCACACTACATCAATATCTTGTTCTCAATTAAAAGTCAAAATCATCCTGATTAGGCTTTGGTGAGGTTAACAAAGCCGTGTAAAGACGAAGCCTATCCTCTCCCAAGGAAGAGCATCGTGACAGAGGCCTCCTAGGCCTTATAAAGGACAATGAAGTCAAAGTCAACCTATGCTTGTACCTTCTCCATGCCAATTGAATGGCCACAGCACCCCAAGTTCTCCACCCTGGTGAGTAATACCTAGCACTTCTCTTCACCTTTTCTTTCACGAATGTGTACCTAAAATGTTGTGTCACATACTTAACGTCCTCAGCTTCAAGACCAAATGCCTCTGTGGTTTCGAGTGTGGTTAGTGTTGATGAAGATGGTGGAAGGCGCTCTATGAAGGGTCTCCTTAAACACCATGAAAGGAGCTCGTCACCACTGAAGTTTCCTGGACCTAACATGCAACAACTTTTCACCCCATCCCTTAGGACTTGGCTGCTTTGAAGGTGACCCCTTACTACAAATAGCATTCTTTGAACTGGGTCTCCTTCTCTTGCTATCTGCATCATAATTAATCACATTATTCCCCTAATTTTATTGATAAAATTCATAAACCAAAAAAGAGAAAATAACATTTTTAATATCGAATTATTAATTTATCAATAAATGATTGAAATTTTTATATGATTTATTAATGAATGATTAAAAAATTTATCTGATGTGGCATGTTAAAAATCAAATATGAGATAATTCATTTCCGATATTTATATGTTGAAATTTAGAGGAATTTGGAACTTACTGTTTCTCCCTTTGTGAATATCAAAGACTTCACCCGGTCACATATGTTCTCTAGAACCAGATCATCCATATGTTGAAATAGTGGCACCTGAACAAACATTATATGAATGTATTAATATTCAAGCTCTTTTTACCCTATTTTGGTTTGGGCCAGATGAATTCTATATCATGTGAGGCCCACATAGAAGGTTAGAGCATTCGAACCGGTTGGGGTATTGGGTCATTTGATCACTGGTTGGACCGATTGATCCGGATATATATAGATATATAAAAATATATATAAATATAAACATATAAATTCAATTATATTCTTCATATTTAAAATGAATTAAACAAAGTTCACTAAATAAGCTCAAAAACATGAAACATAAATAAATAAAAATACACGCTATTACTATGTCAATTTAAATTGTAACTCTGAATCTCCATAAACATACATCTCAATGACATTGAACTCATATTTTTAAAATTCAAGTACATTAAAATGACATCTCACATTCTCTAATTTATTATTCCGTAAATTGTTTAAGTATTGGAAACTAAAATTTGAGGTTATTGTAGAAGAGTATACTAGCAAATAAAATTATAAAAAAAGTTTAAAATGAGTTTTCTGAAGATGAAATAGTTTTGGCTTTTGGTTTTTTTTTACTGCATGACCTGACCGGATTACCAGTTTTGATCAGGTTTGATCGATTTTGCCCGAGTTTTGAGTGGATTTAACCGGGTCGATGCATTACCAGTCCAATGCTTGATCCGAACCGATCTAATGACCGATTCATCGGATTTCATATCGACCCGACCGAATCGGGTCGGGTTTTACAACAGTGACAAAACCGTTCCCCCCGCCCTCCTTGTTCACCCTCTTACGTGGTTTTTTCTTTAAATGGTTAACTGACTCCAGTACTTTTTAACATTAATTTGATAGCGGTCAGATTTTAAAAATGATACAATTATTCTTAATAAATTTAATAAATGAAGATTCAAATCTAGCAATAAAAATGATAACTACTGATGATATCTTTAAACCAAAATTAAATTTTTTTTTGGTAAACTAAACCAAAATTAAAATTAAAATGGTCTAGTTTTGTGGATTTGGTGAAAGTACAAATCAAAATGAATTCTTACCTGTCTCACCAAATCTAAACATAGATGGTATTTGATGTCTCTTCTTAGCCCCTCAGGGAGATTTCTAGTAATCTCACATTCATCAACCCCACGCATTGCAGCCCAACGTTGTCTTTCATAGTTACGTACACGTTGCCGAAACCCTTGGGGCAATCGCCTTTTCCTCATCCACCATTCAATATTTCTCATCTTCAATTGCATTGCTTGTTTCTTTGATGTTGTTGCATGCAAAAACACCTGCCCCATACATATATACTCATAATATCAAAACAATTTCATAATAAATATTTACATAATTACATCACCGAATGAGCCAAAGCCAAAAAGTAAAAAATGAACATCAAAGTTAGAAATCGAGAATTAAATTGGTGTTTACCTTAATGTTTCCAATCAACATAGTGACAAGAAGAAGGCCACTGGTCAAAACAATGATGTTGAAAACTACTTCTAGCCATTCCGTTGTGCTCTCTAGGTTCCCGAAAGTGCTTATCACATCAACAAATATAGAATTTATAAACATAGAGTAACGATGAAGCAAGGATAAATTGTTGGATATATTAATAATATAATTCAATAATATAATACATACAAGCCCAATAAGTAAGAGCATTATTATTTGGATTCATATGGGTTGGAGTCTAATAGCTTGCATTATCTCTATGATTTTCTAAGTTGGAGGTAACACTATTAAGCATTTCAAACTTGATGTCTCTTGGTGTAATATTTCAAGCACCAACACTGTCCCTAAACTCTTCTCTCTCAAACTCATAACCTCGAACAATATTGAAATATTAGCTTCGTCTGTCAGATTTGAGCAAGTAAGGTGTCTATTCGAAGATATCATCGAGTGGAACTCATATTTTCATTCACTTTCGCGATTCGACGGAAGGATTTACTGGGATCTGAGTTTGAAGAAACTGGAGCCGCAATTTTTCGGTCCAGATCCCAGAAATTTCGACCAATTTTAAAAAGTGAAACCTAATGGCCTCTGTTCTACTCGTCAAGACGATCGTTTTGAGTGGTCACTCGCCTTAAACGGAGATCGGACGAAGGAGATATGACCGTTTGAAGTTTTAGGTACACTTTTATGCGAAAAAGAATATTCTTGCGAAATATATGACCGTTTGAAGTTTTGGGTACACTTTTATGCGAAAAAAGAATATTCTTGCGAAAAGGAATATTTCGAGAGAAAATTTCGAGGGAATATTGTGTTAGTTGGGAATATTCTGTTAGGGAACATTTCAATAATCCGAAAAATTTTCGGTGAGTTTCTAGCAACAGGGGTAGTCCATCGTAAGGTTTTTGGGCGCTTCGAATATGTTTTTGGGGTCTGTTTTGGCAAATTCCAAATCTACAGAGCAGTTTGATAAAAGTTAGAGCCTTTGCTTTAATTTGTGAAGTTTGTGAACTATAAGGTGCACTCTTTCTAACTCTTAACTCTGATTAAAATGGCTAAATGTAGTTCCTATGATATTATAAATTGCAATCATTTGATGTTATTGAATTTTATTGTTGAAAATTACATGTTCAATTTGGCATAAAAGAACATGAAATATTCCATAATATATTAAATGATTTTGCATCTACCATTGGAAAATGTGTATGAATATCAACGGAACAAAGATGAAGATTTTCTTGCTAAATTATCTAAATCTTTGTCTAGCTATGGCTTATAGTGAGTATAAGACGACGAAAAAGATATGAGATCATTTGAATGCTTAGTTTCAAAAATAAGAGGGGTTCTCCAAAACTCTCTTAGCAGAATTTTTTTTTTGGAATTCAAATTTAATATGCATTCGAATCACCTCTTAATTAATTGAATTAGTGAACATGAGGAACAAGCTAAAAGATGATAAATCTAATATGTCTGATAATCTCTTTGTCGATCTTGTATTGAGTAAGCTACTTGTTGAATGGAGTTCTTTTAAAACTGAAATGCACAGACTGAAAAAATAGAGTGAATTGGATAAATTAAAGAAGTTTATTTCTATCGAGGATCAAAACTATTCTAGGAATAGTTTGGAACAAATAGGACAACAAAGTTAGTTGCCTACTTAGTTTCATATTCCAATAAACCTCAAAAGAAGTCCAAGTCACCAAAAGGTGAATCCTCTTCATAGTTAGAGGCCAAAAAAAACTATCTTCAAAAGAAGAAGAAGGGCAAGTGCCATAACTGTGGAAAGTGGGATCACTGGGAAGCAGAATGTAAGCTCCCAAATAAGTTAAAAAAAATAACACACCACAAAATGAGGCTAATATGTTAACTAATGAACTTGAGCCTCAAGCTTTCATTGGGATGATGAAGAGTGTAAAGGCCAATGTCTCTTCTGAGTGGTGGTTGGAGAGCTGTGCTAGCTGTCATGCTACAAATAAGGAATTTACTCACTGAGGTCATAGAAGTGAAAGACACAGTGGAAAATTGCAGTGGTGATGAGACAGATGTGACTCATGTTGGAACTGCAAATTTGGTATTTTCCTCAAGTAAATTACTAACTCTAAAACAAGTTAGAGTAGTACCTTTACTTAAAAAAGAAATTGATACCTTTGCTTGATAAAGATGGTATGTATTTCTCAACTATAAATTTGGTTCTTTCTTCAAGTAAACTACTAACTCTGAAACAAGTTAGAGTAGTACTTTTACTTTAAAGGAAATTGATATTTTTGTTTGATAAAGCCTGTATGACTTTTTCAACTATGAATGGTAGAGTAACTTTATTTGTTAACTCTTGTTATTTTGGTTGTGCATTCATGATTAATGGTATGTATAGGTTGAGTTTAGATACTAAGAGCATAAACCATGTGAGTTCAACTTTGATTGATCCAAAGTTGTTACATAATAGACTTGGACATGTGAACTACAAGAAAATGCAACATCTAGCTAAAACTCTTGATATTCCATTAGATGCCTCTATTCGATTTGATAAATATGAAGTATATGCACAAACTAAGATCACTCAAAAACCTTTTAAGTCGGTTTCTAAATGCACATAACTTCTTGATCTAATACATTATGATCTTTGTGACTTTAGAAATTATATTACCAGAGATGGTCAGAAGTACTTGATAACATTCATAGACGAATTTTCTAGATATTGTCATGTTTATTTGTTGAAATCGAAAGATGAAACTTTTGAAAGGTTCAAGATTTTTTAGTCAAGAGTAGAAAATCAACTCAACTTGAAAATTAAGAAGTTTAGTAGTGATAGAGAAGGAGAGTATATAATGACAGGGTTCAAGGAATTTTGCGCTTCAGAAGGCATAATACTTGAAACCACTGCTCCTTACTCGCCCCAATCAAATGGTGTTGCCGAGCGCAAGAATAAGACATTAATTGAAATGTTAAACTATGTTACTTACAGCTGGCATGCGTTCCTCCTATTGGGGAGAAGTAATTCTAACTGCTAATCACATCTTGAATAGGTTATCACACTCTAAGTTGTCTATGACTCCTTATGAGATATGGCATAAGCATCCTTGTAGATATGATACTCTTAAGACTTGGGGATGTATTGCTTATGCAAGAATACAAGATCATAAGAGACCTAAGGTGGGACCTAGAACCATTACTTGTGCATATCTAGGAAGTGCAGAAGACAGTGCTTCAAATAGATTTTTGGATCTATCTACAAATGCAATGATAGAATCTAGAGATGCAGAATTCTTTGAGAATAAGTTTCTCAAAGATCTTGGCTTGAGTGTTTCTGGATCTACAGGTATATTTTAGAATCTTCTATAAAATCTGAAGCAAGCCCTTCTGCCACTAACCCCAGACAACTGGCTATTGAATCAATTCCAATTAGAGTATTTATGAGAGAGAGAGTTCCCAAAGAATTTGGCAAGAACTTTGTCATTTACCATCTAGAGAATGATCCATTCTCCTATCAGGAAGCAATGAGATCTAGGGAATATCTACTGTGGGCAGAAGCCATAGATGATGAAATAAGCTCACTGCTGCATAATCATACTTGGCAGCTAGTCAATTTGTCGAAATGGGCTAAGGCTATAGGCTGGAAGTTGGTAGTGAAGAAGAAACTGAATAGTGATGGATCGATAGCCAGATACAAAGCACATTTAGTAGTTAAGGCTATAGACAACAAAGTGTAGTAGACTATTTTGATGTCGACTCACTTGTGTGCCATCTATCGACTACAAGAATTCTTCTTGCTTTGACATATATTAAACACTATGTAGTGCATCAAATGGATGTAAAGACAACTAGTGGATGACATGTTAATTCTTGGCTCTGATCATTCTGTAGTGAATGACATGAAATCTTATGTAGCTAAAGAATTTGACATTGAAGATCTTGGTATTGCTAATACCATCCTTTGTATAAAAGTAAGCTTTGAAAGGCAAGCAATATCTCTTAGCCAAACTCATTATATTGAGCAACTACTTTCTGCCTGGGTATACAGTGAGTGGAAACTGAGTCAGACACCATGTGATTATAATAAAAGACCGAGTCATCATGAACAGACCAATATGGACTAGTTAAAGTATTTAAAACTTATTGGTAGTCTCATGTATGCTGCAAGTTGCATTAAACCTGACATAGCTTTTACAGTTGGCATGCTAAGTCGTTTCACTAGTAATCCTAGTAAAGAGCATTGGGATGCCCTTGATAGGCTGATAAGATATCTTAAAGGTACTAAAGATTATGCTTTACACTACTCTGGTTATCCTTCAATTATGGATGGATATTTTGATACGTCATGGTGTTCAAAAATCAGAAATAGTAAGTTCATTAGTGGATATTATAACACCTCGTAATTATAAAATACTTAATTATAGTTAAAAGATGGATTAAAAGGTAGGATTAGTGAAAATCCTAAATTCAGAGTCAAAATACGTCAAAAGGGTAAATAATTTGTCAAACACATAACCCTAGAAAAGGAAATTTGAGTATAAGGGCAAGTTTCTGAAAAAAATGATGAATAGTATTTTTACCGGGTAAAAATACCGCGATACAGTTGCACCGTAAAATGTGCCGAATGAAATTTGAGCTCTAGGTTTAAAAATAAGTTATAAATGGTGCATAGGACTAAGATTTATGATTATTCATGAAATTTGATTAAAATTAGAGTTTTGGGGGAAACGTGCCCATAGTGCGAATAACAGCTTAAAACTGTGATTTCATCGAATGACTGGAGAACTCTGGATTCATCTTATCAAGTATAAGTAAAGGACTTCGGTGAATATTAAATTTTGGATTTTATAGATATTTCATGGTTTAATTGGTGATTATTGAGTTAAATAGATAGTTTAAGTGATATTTCGTCCTTTGTGCGCCTTGTGGCAGTCCATGTCACTTAAGACATTTGAAACCCACTTCTCTCTCTGCAAAACCTGCGCACAGAGCCCCTCCTCCATGGCTGAACCGTGACCTCCATTGTAAGACCAAGCCAAGCTCACAACTCCTCACACACTCATCAAATCGAAAAATGCTATTACACGAAAGTTGTTCCCTTGCCTCCAATTAGTTGAA